ATCTGCAGTGAAGAACTCATGAAATGGGAAAAGAAGAATAATCACTTATTCTTCTGATTCTCCAATGATTATTAGATGTAAAGTAAACTCACTTACCTTTATGATCTGTCCTCGAGCAGGTATCAGTTGTGGGTCTGGCTGCAGCTCTTGTGCTCGGATGCCTGTACAATTCACTATCACATCAAACTCTGGAGATAACTACCAAAGATATATGTATAAAACAAACAGTATGTGTAAAAAAAACTGATATCCAAAAACATAGACATTCAAGCAGCATAATGTTGCATAAAAACATACCCCAGAGATTATACATCATAAAATTAATAAAGAATACCTCTTGGAAGGAAGAGACTTTCTTTTGAACAAACTGGACTCCGTGTTCTTTTAACCTTAAATAAATGAAAAATGCCTATGAAGTCTATCACTGGAATCTCTACCATCATTTCAAATTATATTTCTCCATACTTCTAGAATACATATAGCACAGGAGTAAACTTTATACTATCTCCACTAAAAATTAACCGTCTCACATTTTCTTCGTTATTCAATGCTTTCTAGCTGCAATGGGGCTCAAGTGAAAACTCACTGTTGAGGCATTACTGTCACTGAACAAAGGATAATACAGCACAGGAACAGGCCCTTTGGCCCTCCAAGCCAGCGCCAACACATTTTGGCCTTCCACACTACAACTGTCTTCACTTACAGGATCTGTATTCCTCTATTCCCTTCCTATTCATGCATTCATCCAGGTGCTTCTTGAATGCTGTTATTGCGTCTGCTTCCACCATCTCCTCTGGCAGCGCATTCCAGGTACTCACCACCCTTTGTGTGAAAAACTTGCCTCATACATCTCTTTTAAACTCCACACCGCTCCCATACTCCCCAGTTTGAACGTTTGTCCCCTAGTAATTGACCCCTTGACCCTGGGAAAAAGCCTCATACTTTCCATTCTATAAGATTGCAAATGGCAAGGATAAACGTCTATCAAATCATCCCTCAATCTCCTGTGTTCCAGTGAAAACAAATCCAGTCTATCCAACCATTCTTCATAGCTAAATTCCCCCATACCAGGCAACATCCTGGTAAACCTTTTCTGTACACTCTCTAAAGTATCCACATCCTTCTGTGGCCTAACTAAAGTTCTATAAAGCGGCAGCATAATTTGCTTAACCTTATACTCAATGCCTCTTCAAGTGAAGGCAAGCATGCCATAAAGGCCTTCTGACTACCTTATTTACCTGCGCTGCCATCTTCAGTGATTTGTGGACCTGAACACCCAGATCCCTCTGCATATCAATACTCCTAAGGATTCTACCATTCACTGTATAATTTCCACCTGTACTTGTCCTTCCAAAATGCATCATCTCACATTTGTCCAGATTAAACACTATCTGCCATTTTTCTGCCCATGCCTCCAACTGATTTATATCTTGCTGTATCCTCTGACAATTTTCATCATTATCTGAAACTCCACCAATCTTTGTATCATCCACCAACTTACCAATTAGACCAGCTACATTTTCCTCCAAATCATTTATGTAGAACACAATCAGCAGAGGTCCTAGCACTGATCGCTGTAGAACATCACTAGTCACAACCATTTCGAAAAGCAGGCTTCCACCACTACCCTCTATCTCCTATGACTAAGCCAGTTCTGTATTCATCTTGCCAGCTCACCATTGATACCACATAACTTCACCTTTTGTTACCAGTCTGCCATGAGGGACCTTGTCAAAGGCTTTACTGAAGTCCATGTGGACAACATCCGCTGCTTTTCCCTCATCAATCATCTTCATCACCTCCTCAAAAAATCTTGATCAAGTTAGTGAGGCACGATGTCTCCTACACAAAACCACGCTGTCTATTGCTAGAAGTCCATTTGCTTCTAAATGCATATAGATCTTGTCTTTGAGAATCTTTTGCAATAATTTCCCTACCATCGACGTGAGGCTCATAGGCAGCCAATCTTGGGCCTTTACAGCAGTGGTTCCCAACTCAGAAATGGGACCAGAAGAATTCCCCGTTAGATGAAACCTTAGATGAAGGCTTAATTTTATTTTACTACATATACTGTCATTCTCAAAAGAATTGATATCCTCAAGCATGAATTGGAAGCTGGTCAAATATGAGCAGAAATAAGATGGATAAAAAGGATTGCATCTTACCTCTCCATCAACCAGGGTAAGTAGCTCTTTCCTTCCAACATTAGTGCAGTGTTAAACCACCCATGGCTGCAAAACAGAGAACATCCCTAAGCCATAAGCTGATTTTCTGGTTTTAGGTTTGGTCCAAAACCCAGTAGTGGGCATGATTTATTCTGTGTATGAAGTCTAAAGAAAACTGTAGACCTCATGTTTTATGAAACCTTTGCAATTTCATTACATGCAGGAAACAGAAGACATCTTCCCTCAATTTGTTTCACTGTATTTTTTCTTATATTGAGACACTAAACTCACATATTTAAAATGGCATGTACAATTTTAAGAAGAATGCCATGTTCAAATCCCTCCATGTTTCATTCCTCTTCTCTGTAATCACTTCCTGCTCTTAAGCTCTTGGAGATTTCAGTTCGTTTACAGCTGGTGTCTTGTGCATGGCCAATTTTCATCACTCACTGCTGGCATTCTGGTGTTCTGGTCCTGACCTCTGGAATTTCATTTCTAAAACTCTCTGCATAGGTTCTTATTTTTCTAATTAAATCTTAGCTCTTTGGCTAACTTTTTTGGGCCACTTATTCTAACGTATCTCAATGTAACTTAGTATTAGATTTTCTCTGATAATGCTTCTGTGAAGCTTCTTGGGATAATTTACTACAAAAAAGATACTTATAGTTTGAAATATTTGTTGTTACATCTGGGAGGCCCTAAAACACATTCCCGTCTTAAAAAAAAAATAAAACAAAGAACTGCGGAGCTGGAAATCTGAAACAAAATGAACAGAAACTGATGGAAAAACTCAGCAGGTCTGGCAACATCTATGAAAGGAAGATAGAGTTTATATTTTGAGTCCGATGACCCTTATTCAGAATTTATAGCATCTTGGAAAAAGTTGCATTTATGTTTATGAATGGCGGGTGGGGGCGTGATTTAGAGCGGTAGCAAGGAGAGCACTTCTTCACCTATGACTATTATCAGGATATAGCAGGAGGAGAATTAATTATTAAACTTGATAGTTTGTCCTATAATAAAGAAATCCTGGTTCCAAAAGTACTAACACTGAAGAATGTTGAAAGTTTAATGTTTATTGAAGAGGGAGCACAATTTTGCACACAACTGATTACTCTGATCTGGTTAGATATGAAAGGGCCCAAAATACAAATCAATTTCTCATCTGGAAGCAGATGCCTTAAAACATTGAATTTAATGGGAACTCAGGCACAGTGGCTGTAAATTACTGTTCCTTAAAACAGCAACTGCTGCATCACCTGTTCCAGCTATGATAATGGCCCATCTACATGAACTGGAGTTTGGCACTATCAGCATGGACAGCTGGCAGGTGTTTGGAAACAGGGTCACTGATAATCCTACATGTTACAAAATTGAAAAGGAGTATTTTTGTTAACTTGGATTAATAGTTTTAACTTTCTTTGCTGATCAGCTGCATGCAAGGATTGTCCATTAACCTAGAGTGCAAATCAATGACTATGGATAAATAAGAGATGGTTTAACTCTGGATTCAATTTCTACATTCCAGGAACACAAGCTTTGGTGATACCACTGTCTGCAAAAATATTTTAGGATGGCTTTAGGGAAAATAAATACCTAAATCCAGGAAACAGTTTGAGTTCTTCTTCCGTCAAATGTCTAAACCCCAAAACAGCATCTTTCCAGGATGGGTCCTGTGAAGAAAAATGAACAAAGAATGTTGGATTAATTTTCCTCAAGTTCTGAAATATTACAACCATACAAATTAATTTTTGTTTCCTTGCCATAATCTCAATTGCATAGAGATAAGATGTATGAGTTTCAGTAAACAAAACTATATTCTATTTGGCTATCTTTCTGTTTACCTAGCTATCTGAGATTAGTGGTATATATGTCCTTGGGAAAAGTCCACTGACATTTAGTTATCTGATTTAGAATGACACTAAGAAGGAGCCAATAAGTTTCCTGTACAAACTCAGATCAATGCTTATAGTTAGAAAGAGCAGGTTGCGCTGTACTGAGATGGTCAGTGCCAACCCTATCCAAAAGTATCATTGTGTAGGAAAACATCTTTAGAAATTAGTGTCACAACTTAAACTCAGCATTGGTCAGTAAAGTCGGCTTGCAAGCATCACAGTCTAGAAATCACTGCTAGCAATAGTGACACAGAAATGCTTAACATGGTAAGATTAAATTGCTCTGTTCACTACTTTAGCTGATATATTAGTTCACCGAATAAAACTGCATAATGCCAAAGTTAACATGAAGCATTTTTTACATATAGAGTCCCTACAGTGTGAAAACAGGCCATTTGGCCTAATACGTCCACATCGACATCCCACGCAGACTCACCCCCTTATCCTATCCTTGCACTTCCCACAGCTAATCCACCTAACTTACATATCTCTGGACACTATGGGCAATTTAGCATGGCCAAACCACCTAACCTAGACATCTTTGGACTGTGGGAGGAAACCAGAGCACCCAGAGGAAACCATGCAGACACAGGGAGAATGTACTAACTCTACACAGGCAGTCACCCAAGGCTAGAATCGAGTCTGGGTCCCTAGCGCTGAGAGGCAACAGCGCTAATCAGTGAGCCATCATGTGAGCCTTTTTTTTGCTGTTTTATGTGCCCAAACACCATCAGAATTCCATCAGGGGAGTGAGATTGCTAAAATCTAGGTCAAGCAGTGCAAGTGTCAGAATATATATCATGTTCTTAGACTCAGAAATGGAAATAATTTAGTGATCAGCAAGTGGATCAAACAATTTTTTAAACTTAAAAAGGCAAGATGTTAAAAGGAGATGTAGCAACAATGATGAATTATAATGTAGTTTAGGCATAGCAGAGATTCCAAATGAATCGGCACAGTTGTCTATCGCTCACTGTCTCATATCAACTCCTTTTCTGCATTTAGTGAAAATTTTACAATGGTCTGCAGCACATGACACTAATTTTGTGGATCTTCATAAAATATAAAGAAATAGGTGGCCTCATTGTTTGTGAACTCTCCAAACTGTGTCTCCTTTAAATATAGCTCCCAGCTTTGGACACAAGATTAATACAGTCATCCTATATTGTGTTCCATACGTATGCTGAGTTTTTAATATTCGTTTGGGTAAACTTTTCAAGTTCTGAGCTGTTTTGCAGCATTTCATCGTATGCATGTGCTGAAAGCATTTCACATTTGCCCTATAAAACATGAAAACATGTTTGGTTCTGCCACTGAATAAAATGAAGTAATCACTTGCTGGCAATGCTCATCTCAATGGCAGCAAAAAGCAGACATTCGATTACCATCAGCTCAATTCATACAAATAGTCTAAATTCCCAGTTCAAAATGCATTGTGCTGAATGAAACATACCATGAAGGTAGATATACAAAATTAGTTCAAAATCTTGATGCCAAACAAAACGTCAAAAGGATCCATGGTGTAATATGCTTTTCAGTCAGAAAGAACATGGGTTCAAGTCCCACATCAGGACTCAAACACATTTTCAGGATTACATTTCAGTGCGGCTCTGAGAGAATGCTGTCTTATTGTTGAAGCCAATAACAACTTACATTTTTACTGCACCTTACTAGAGTGGAACATATCAAGGTACGTCAAAAGAGGTTTATCAAAAAAAGACATTAAAATTCAATTTATCCATTCTGCCATGTTTACATGAAATTCATGATACCATCTGAAGAGCAGTATGTCTGGCTTCATAATGTGGATAACATTTCTCCATCAACTGATACCACTGAAAAGAAACAAACTGTCTCATTTGCTGTGGCAAGATCTTACTGTGGAGAAATTGTCTGCCCTATTTGCCTACATTATCAATGATTATACCTCAAAAGGTTATTCTTTGTTACTGCAGAGCCTCGAAAGCCATCTTAAGCTTACAGCATTTCAGTTCCACTTAACAGTCTCTGATTTCTGGTTATTTGATGCGTGAATGGGAAACAATGGCCTAATGGTATTACTGTTGAACTGTTAATCCAAAGACCCAGGTAATGTTCTGGGGACCTAAGGTCGAATCCCGCCACGGCAGCTGGTGGAATTTGAATTCAGGAAATATCCAGAATTAAGAGTCTAATGATGACCATGAATCCATTGCCGGTTGTTGAGGAAAAACCCATCTGGTTCACTAATGTCCTTTAGGGAAGGAAATTGCCACCCTTACCTGGTCTGGTCTACATGTGACTCCAGGCCCACAGTAATGCGCTTGACTCATAATTGCCCTCTGGGCAATCAGGGATAGGCAATAAATGCTGGCCTAGCAACGCTCTCATGCCATGAATGAATAAAGGAAAAAGTTGATGACCATGCTCTGATAGTCAATAAGCTTTCAATAAGCATTCACTTTAGAACAATTGCACTTCTGAATATGTTTCATCTCACTGCCATTTTATAATTAATATGGTCAACAATTACTCCACATTGTGGGAGAATGCAGTTTTACAATTTATTCACAATATTTGGGCATTGTTGACAAAGCCAGCTTTTATTGCCCAAATCCAATTGCCTTTCTTCAACTGCTGCAGTCTGTGTGCTGAAGGCACTCTCATAATTCTGTTAGATGGGGAGTTCAAGGATTTGAACCCAGCAACAATGAAAAGAATGGTGATATATTTTTCAGTCATTATGCAGTCTAACGTGAAAGACAACTTTGAGGTGGTGGATTTCTTTTCACCTGCTGCCCTCTTTATTTCAATTGGTAGAGGTCACAAGTTTGGGATGTGCTGATGTTCATCCAGTTATTGACAAAGTTCAATTTTGAGGCACATAAAGTCTGTATTTTAATTAATCTGCAACCTGAGAATTAAGCCAATGTTTGACTTTTATAAGGAAGACACTGACATGGACTCCTTCCCCATCTGTTTCCCCAAGGACTATTTGCACAAGTCACATGTCACAAACATCTGCGTGCAAGGATTGAAGTGACAAGCCTCAACCACAATTTTAAATTTAAACAAAACAAAATTCTATTTATTGTTATATCTCTATACAGAGACAGCAACTTGACAATGCAAACTAATAAATCGAAAACAGCAGGTAGTTAACACAAGTAACTCTATGACCATGTGCATTATTCCTTTTGTTTCAAAAAAGGGCAAGAACCACTGAATTAAAAATGATTTTGTAATGAAAATGAGAATGGGTCATTTGGAATTGCTTTAATTTCCAAGGATTGTTGGCCATTTCCTCAATTGGCAGTGCATGCCGAGAACAGTTTCCAATGGCAACAATATATTTCTGAAGCACACGCACAATGGCAAACACAATGTAACATTTAATCACAGGAAAATTCAAACTTTTGTATGGGATGTACAAGAACTTTAAGATGATTTAATTTACCACCTGTCAAAACTAATCAGCAAAAATTGCAATCAAATTTCATTATTTACCTGCATCACTCATTTTATAATTTTCAGAATTTCTCTTTGCAATCTGTTGCTGTTATCATGTAAAGCTCTCTGACAATGAATAAGAATCAAGTATCAACACCATGAAAAACCCTATAGTTTTATTTTTAGGATTGGCACAGCATGGTAAGAACTAAGCAAAATGTAGGTTGATTCGCTAATTACTGTACACCAATCATAAATTTAAAATTTATTCTTAGCTGATTTTCTTTTGATTTTGTAGTCAGTTACGATGGCCAAGTCTACCGATCCACTCCAGTAGATGTGTGTTGTTTCTTTTCTAATATATAAATGTCGAGAAAATGAACTAAAGTGAGTAAATACATAGCCTTAGTCAAACCCTATTTATGGTATGGCATTCAGTTTTAAGGAATGCATCACAGGATATATTGGCTTTGCATGGGTGTTGTGCAAAATCTTGGCCTCTTTTTCCCCTCATGTTTAGAAAATTGAGGATCATTTACCAGAAATATTTAAAATGATTATGGAATTCAATAAAATTGAATGGACCCTTCTGGTCCCAAAGGTGGAAAACTTTGAAGCAGGAGATGCATTTAATTAGAAGCTGCATACCCAAATCCCACCACCACTTGCTTCCACCGATTTAAGTTCTTGTTGTGAAGATCCATGGTTGATTGTACCTCTTTCTATCGCTGGGACCTTTATGTGATCAATTAAGGATCACTTAAGGGCTGTAGCCCCTTGCCACTCTGACTACTTCAGATGCAGCCCTCATGATAACTACTATCAGCTTGGCATTTCATCATGGGGGTGTGGACACAACTTGGACAAAGGCAATCAGTGCCTTATCAAGGGACTAGACCATCAGGCTAGGATTACCTTCCTAATGCTCTCTCCCTGCAGATTCTAACCCTAACTCAGTCGGAAGAACCACCCGAACACCTCATTTACCTGGATCCTCTATGATGTTGGGACTTCAGAGATACTCTTTTGTCAGTAGCCATGGCATGCTTGTTGGTGCTACTAAGTGCAAGGGCTCCTAGTCTCTGATTATCTGGCAGCTTGTGCTGTGTGTGATGTCTGCCCCAAGTATCTTGATTCCAGGAAAAGGCCTGCCAGTGCCTCACTCTTGCTTGACTGGCATTTGTTAAAATGCTCTTCCCTGGAAAAAGCAGCACAGGGCTCTTGTTGACTTGCCAACTGTCTGTTTGAAATAAAAGGAGGCAATGGGAGGCTTTTAAAAGTGCGATATCAGGAGTCCAGGGACAGTACGTCCCTGTTAGGGTGAAGGGAAAAGCTGGCAGGTTTAGGGATCCCTGGCTGACGAGGGATATTGAGGCTCTGGTCAGGAAAAAGAAGAAGGCATACATTGGGTTTAAGCTATTGGCCGCAAGTGAATCCCTAGATGCTTTAAGGGGGAAATTAGAAGGGCAAAAAGAGGGTATGAGATGTATCTGGCAGATAAGGTTAAAGATAAACCCAAGAGGTTCTATTGCTATATTAAGAGTAAAAGGGTGGCTAGGGAGAGAATAGGTCCCCTCAAAGATCAGCATGGCATCTGCGTGTGCAGCCACAGGAGATTTGGCGGGGGGTGGCCGGGGGTGGGGGGGGGGATCTTTAATAATATTTCTCCTCAGCGTTTACTGACGAGAGAATCATGGATGCTAAGGAAATAAGAGAAACAAGTGGGGATGTTTTGGACCACATATATATTATTAGAGAGGAGGTGTTTGCAGACTTAAATCGCATTAAGGTGGATAAATCCCCTGGGCCTGATCAAGTCCATCCTTGGACATTATGGGAGGCTAGGGAAGAAATTGCAGAGGTCCTTCCAGAGATTTTTGCTTCACTTTTAGCCACTGGTGAAGTTCGGGAAGACTGGAAGGTGGCTAATGTTTAAGAAATTGTTTAAGAAAGGTAGCAAAGACAAGCCAGGAAACTATAGATCCATGAGCCTGACATCTGTGGTAGGCAAGATACTGGAGAAGATACGGAGGGACAGGATCAAGCAACATTTGGATAGTCAAGGTCTGATTAGGGATAGTCAGCATGGAGGTGTGTGCGGGAAATCATGTCTGACAAATCTTTTAGAGTTTTTTGAAGAGGTAACCAAGAGGATAGATGAGGGTAGGGCAGTGGATGTTATCTGTACAGATGTTAGTTGGGCCTTTGAGAAGATCCTGCATGGCAGGTTAGTCATGACGGTTAGGTCGCATGGGATCCAGGGAGAGCTAGCTAATTGGATTCAGAACTGGATCAACGGTCGGCAGCAGAAGATGATGGTTGAAGTTTGTTTTCCGGACTGGAGGCCTGTGACTAGTGGTGTACCACAGTAATCGGTGCTGGGACCTTTGTTATTTGTTATTTACATAATTGATCTGGGTGTGAATGTGCAAGGCATGATTAGTATGTTTGTGGATGATATAAAATTAGGACATATAGTTGATAGCGAGGAAGGTTATCAAAAATTACAGAGGAATCTCGATCAGAAGGGGAAGTGGGCTGAGGACTGGCAAATGCAATTCAATACAGATGTGAGAGGTGTTGCACTTTGAAAAGTCAAACCAAAGTAGGACTTATACAGTAAATGGTAAGGACCTGAGGAGTATTGTGGAACAGAGGGACCGAGGAGTACAAGTACATAGTTCATTGAAAGCAGCACCACAGGTAGACAGGGTGGTGAAGAACGCATTTAGCATGCTGGCCTTCATCGGTCAAGGCACTGAGTATAGGAGTTGGATGGTATGTTACAGTAGTATAAGTCATTGGTGAGGCCACACTTGGAGTATTGTGTACAGTTTTGGTCACCCTGTTATAGGAAAGACATAGTTAAACTGGAAAATGTGCAAAGAAGATTTACGAAGATGTTGCCAGGACTAGTAAGCCTGAGTTATAGGAAGAGGTTGGCCAGGATGGGACTTTATTCCTTGGAACGTAGGAGATTGAGGAGTGACCTTATTGAGGTGTATAAAATCATGAAGGGCATAGATAGGATGAATGCATATAGTCTGTTTCCCAGCGATGGAGAATTGAAAACTACAGGGCATAGGTTTAAAGGTGAGAGGGAAAAGATTTAAGAAGGACTTGAGGGGCAACTTCTTTACACAGAGAGTGGTGCAATATGGAATGAGCTGCCAGAGAAAGAGGTTGAGACAGGTAGAATAGCAATATTTTTTAAAAATTTGGATAGGTACATGAATGGGAAGGGTTTAGAGGGATAGGGACCAAATGTGGGCAATTGGAACTAGCTGAGTGGGCACCATGGTCAGCAATGGACCAGCGTGGGCCAAAGGGCCTGTTTCCATGCTGTATTACTCTATGATTCTAGACCCATTACAAGTCAACCAATTCTCTAATAGGGGAATCCAGAACAAAATGATATAACTGACAGAGGACATAGAAAAGTAAAATGTAAAATCTTTTTTCCCCTCAAAAAGGGAGGTGAAAATCTGGAATTCTCTCCCCAAAAAGCTTCAGATACTGAATAATTTATTTCTAAAGTTCAGTGTTGAAAGGTTATCAAGGGATAGACAGTGGAGATGAATAAATAGTGTTAAGTATAGACCAATTATGATCCAACTAAATGTCTAAGCAGGCTCAAAGGGCTGAAGAATCTCCTATTCCCATGTCCTGCACAGATCCTGTAAAGTAGCCTGAAGGATCAATTACTAAAATCAGATGCAACCTTCTTATTCCAGGTTAAAGTTTCTGCAAATGTTTTTCCTTATGCCTGTGATGAATTGTGCATTGTTAAGTGATCCCAATCTTCTGTTTGTGCCTCTTACCTTCATCTTTGACTTTTAGTTCTGCCATCTGTGAATGACATGAACCCTAAGAGATGAGATCTTTGTTATTTTGCCCCTGCCCTCTAGATCATGTTACCAGCAGGTAACCAACAAGGTTTTGTACAAGAATTATCCATGTTCCACTAGTACTGTCACAAACAGGGAAACACTTTGCACAGTGGAGGAAAGAAGTGGACTTACACAGATGTAAATGGAGAGAAAGTGGAAAAGCTCTGAAGAATGAGTAATTGCATGTCACAGAGAAGGATTCTGAACACTCAGGAAATGTTAGCCAGTGTTAAGAGAAGGAGAACACCTCTCTGAGAAGCAAAGAGCATGCATGACCAGAAGAATAAATCATGATGGTTGAGGCCCTGGAGAGATTTGAAAATGACTTTCATGGCCTTGAAATCAATATACTGGATGCTAATGTCAAAAATGCTGCACAAATTGAATGTGTCTTTGTATTTTTTTAAAATCAACCTGTTCAGTAATGTTATCTCACACCTCTGGAGCAGGTGGAAATTGTAATTGGGCCTCCTGGCCCAGCGTTAGGGACACCATCACTACACTGATTTTTTAAAAATTTAACTACTTTTCTAATCAACCTGTTCAGAGATGTTATTACATGTCTCTGGAGCAGGTGGAAATTGAACCTGGGCCTCCTGGCTCAAAGTTAGGGACAGTACCACTGCCCCACAAAAGCCCAACGTGTGCATATACAAGCTCTGGTGGTGATTAGAAGTAGCCAGTATTAATTAGGAAAATGTTAGGGAACATATACAAGAACTTTTGCATGAGGATCTTGAGGTGCCTACCTTGTCCCTACTTTGAGCCACCTGATCCAGAGGTGAGTCATACCACTCTGAAAAGGTTGATTTAAAAATATCTGTGGTACAGTGATGACTTCTAGTGTTCCCTTTAAGCTTCATTCCCGTGCAGACACTCCAAAGTTCCATGCATGCTGATCAGCATGCCAACACACAGACTTCAAGGCCTGGGTTTGATTTCCACCTGTTGCAGAGATACTTCATAACATATCCAAAATGGTGATTAAAAAACACTCCCATAAGAACCAGTAAGGTGGTTTGTGGTAGTGTTCCTACCTCTGGGCCAGAAGGTCTGAGTTCAAGTGTTTTAAAATGCTCCTATGAAGCTTCTTTTGACATTTAGTTACATCGCAGATATTGAATAAAATATAAGTGGTTATGTTTTTATTCAGTCAGAATGAAATAATTTAATCAGGACGCACGTGAAATTTAGGCAAAGCTGAAATATCAAAAAAAATTTTAAAAATTAAAAATCTCATTAGTTTTATCATAATAGAGAAGTACAACATTCCACAAATTTAAAATTAGTTTCTCAGAACTAGAAAAGATTTTCAGAAGTAATAATGAACTAAGTGTACTAAGTGTACTATTAAAACCCTAGGTACACCTTGTCACAAGGTATAACTTTTTGAAGAGTTGTTGTTGTAAGACTAATAAGGTGAGAGGGCAAATTCTCAGTAGTTGCGTTTGAAATTGACTGCAGTCTAGACGTACTTCAGCAGCACCCTATGGAGGAGCACAGAATCAATGAAAATAACTTCTGGATAGCTGCCTTTAACTGCACATGTTCAGACTCTAGAAGTTGCTGTCAGTTTCAGAGGAATAATAACAATGAACACTAATAGTTTAATCATCATTACTATCACAAAATCCAAGCCATTAAAATTGAGAAGTTAAATCTCGCACATTAAATGTAAAGAACACATATTCCCCTCCCCCCCACTTCCAAAGGTTATGTTCACTAATCCTTCATGTTATATAATGGAAATATAATTATAAAGCTGATAGGAGCACAGTGGAAAGACTATTGTTTTAATTAAACACCTTCATATTTGGGATAAACAGTTACCGGCAGTTGTTCTTTGAAGATGTTGTATCCAGACTGCAAAAACAAGCCCATCTCATTCGCATCAGGTGAATTCACATACTTTCGAAGATATTCAAATGTTTCCTTGTTCCATTTGCTGTAGTTAAAAAACATAGGGAAATATGATACAAGCCATGGTTGCACTTAAGCAATGCCGTAAGTACATATTTACCAACTGTAGAACATTTCAATGGTGTAAAAGAGAAAAAAAAACAAAGTAAATATTAAACTACATTGTTATCCAAGTTACCATAGGGACCAGAGCAACACTTACCCATTAGTGCAAAGATCAGGGGGTAGATTTCACAGCACCCTAAACTCCCCCTTTCCTAAGCTAAAAATCCATTGGCACCTTACTGCGAAGAAATGGAGCTGACCCACAACCATAACACTGCGGCAACCTTAATAAGGGAAGTGTGAGTCTTCTACTCATCATGGGAAGGAAGGCTCACCTCAGCACCCCATCAATCTGATTGGCTGGCAACTCTTTAGTACCTGGAGAACCAGAAGAGAGCAGTGGCCACTCGGTCTAAAAGCAGTTCCCAAGAAGATAAAATGGATAGCAAAATTTGGCAAGTCTGGAAATTTCCAAGCATGGCTGGCAGACCCAGTGAAGAAAGGGTGGAAATAATCACAGATAATGGATGAGGGGCAACAAAGGGATTGTACCATTTTGGGACAGGGAGAGGGGTAAAGCAAGCTGCCAAAAATAATGTCTTCCTTCCTGCCTGTCATTAACCTGTGCAGCGAAAGCTCCCAGGTTGGTCACCTTCCATCTGTCTTCCCCTGAACTGACTGAAATATTTTAGTGTGGGTGGAATGAAGCCCTTAGTGGCAGTTAATTGTCTACTTAAGGGACTCAATAGACTGAAAGACAGGCAGACAGAAGGATGGAAAACCCATTTAATTTACATGCCCCCATTCCTGCCTTCACATACACTGGTAGGGCTAACTTTAACTATGAGTTCTATTTTATTGCAGTTATTATGTATAATTCTAAACTATTACTGACTTCCTTTAAGGGGCTTCAAAGCTCAAGGTGGAATTCTGCAATATCATAATATGCAGCAATTCATTTAACTATGCAGTGCGAGGACATGGGTTTACACTTTTCCTTCTTCAAGTTTTCTTGGCTTGGCTGTGCACACAAAGGAGAGACCACAAACCCTGTAAATTCACTAAATGGAGGCAGGTAAATTAGAAGCAGAGTTATAACATAATAAAATATTATGTAGCTGACTGAAACTGATCTATGTACTACAATAAATTGCCCATTATGGCACTTTTGGACCCAATCTCGGCTTTTCTGGGAAGAATTTTTAGTTTAAGTATTCTTTTCTAAAATCTTCTAGTTCTCTCAAAGTGACAACAATCCAAAAGAATGGGGCTTCCCTCCTTGCTAACTAATGAGCTATTAAGGTTTGGTTCTAGGAATATGCTTGGTTAGTCAGTCTAAGCTAGGTCAGTAATTACAAGTTCTACACTTGAGCTTGGTGAATCTGAGCTTATAGCAAAAGAAAACTGCTTGGATTCCCGCTCCTGCTCACTATCCAAAAACCTTAGTTAGAAATGGGGAGGACAGAAACAGACCTGGTTGGAAGGGTTAAAATAACAAACCAATGATTATAATCACTCATTAATAACATCCAACCAGAAAGCTTCTGACATCAATGGCATTAAATTTCACAACAGCTGAAGTCTTTAGAAAAAGATAAAAGTAAATGAAAAATACACAAAAACTCGTAAATACTAAAACATAAGATAAAACTGCTGCATGAATCCTCCACCATTTCTAATTGTTATGTAATGGAGTGCAGTTCTAATTTTCTACTGTTTTCTTACACTTCCTCTGGGATTCCTCGATCCAGCACATATGGTTGCCACAATCCAGCAGCTCCATCACTTGTAGTATGTGGTGTAAACTTATCTGCGTAAACCACAATATTCAATGGTTTGATTACAGAGTGAAAGCGTTCAATGATGCATTGAGCTGCAGACAAACCAATCACGCCAGCACCAAGCACCGCAACTTGCATTTTCTTGCGTCGATGTTCTAATGTCTGAAACAAAATAAATACAGACAAGTTGTATAAAGTGTTCCAGCAGAGGTCTGATTTTAGTCTTCTGTGTTCAGAAAGTAGCTTTTGACCTTTTCTTCTCCAATACAGTAATTGTTATATGAATTATTAACCAATCTGTTTGCAAGGCCAATAACATTTTCTGGCGATTTCGACTGGCTCAGTTGATAGCATTCTTATATTTAAAGATGGGGTTCAAAATCCATTCAACATACTTGAATACATAATCTAGACTGACACTTCAGTTTTGAGTAACTGGTACTGAATCATAAATGAGGCTCACACCATTCTCTCAGGTTAAGATCCCATGACTTTATTTTGAAAGACAGCATCGATTTTTTTGTCCAGGAGATATAGACGTCACTGGCAAGGCCAGCATTTGTTGCACATCTCCAATCATAGCTTAGCTAAAGTAAAAACAAAGAACTGTGGATATCAGAAATCTGAAAGAAAAATACAGAAAGTGCTGGAGAAACTCAGTGGGTCTGGCAGCATAGTCCAGTAACCCTTTCTAATGGAGTTATGATCCTTCAGGCTGTTGTGATCCTCCAGGCTGTTGTGATCCTTTGTTAGGCTCACTGGACTTGAAATGCTAACTGTTTTTCTCTCTACAGATGCTGCCAGAGCTGCAGAGTTTCTCCAGCACTTTTGTTTCTACCCCTTGAACTAAGCAGCTTGCTAGGCCATTTCAGAGGGCAGTTAAAAGCCAATCACATTATTGTGTAACAACAACATAAATTGCTGGAGAAACTCAACAGATCTAGCAGCATCTGGGGAGAGAAAGTAGTTAACGTTTTGAGTCCAGTGACCCTTCTTCAGAATATGCACTGTTGGGTGTTTGGAGTCACATGTAGGCCAAACTATGGCAGATTAAAATACATTAAAAGGACATTGGTGAATAAATGAGTCTTTACAACAATCAATGAGAATTTCATGTTCACTATTACTGAGACTAATTTTCACTTCCAGAGAGAATTTAAATTCCACCAGCTACCATATTGGGATTTGAACCCCTGCCGCCAGAGCATTACCTTGGGCCTCAGGATTACTAGATTATTCCTACTACACCTCTACTTCTACTCATCTCTCCATCAACATCACAGATACATATCCGGGCATTATCGCTTGGCTGCTTGTGGAATTTTGCTGTGTGCCAAATAGCTGCTGTATTTTCTACATTACAATAGCAACTACAATAGTACTTCATTTATCATAAAGTACTTTAGGACATCCTTTATAGCATGGAATGTACTATATAAATTCAAGTTAGATATCCATACTATATTTAAAAAACTGGTTAATCACTAGTACTGTGCTATGTATTGAAACAAACTACTGAGCTAACAGATAGTGCTGGAGAAACTCTAGAGGAGGGTTACTCCACCCGAAATGTTAACTCTGCTTTCTCTCCACAGATGCTGCCAGCCTTGCTTTGTTTCTCCAGAAACAAAAACAGAAATTACTCCAGCAGCAACTGTTGAGAGAAAAACAGTTAATGTTTCAAGTCCAGTGACCCTGACAAAGGATCTCAACAGCCTGCCCTCTTAAATTGCCTAGCAAACTGCTTCACTCAAGGGATAAAAACACAAAGTGCTGGCGAAATTCAGCAGGTCTGGCGGTAAAAGTCCAGTGAGTCTGACAAAGGATCACAAGAGACTGAAGGATCATAACTCCCTGTCAAAGGGTCACTGGACTCAAAATGTTAATTCCATGTTTCTCCCTACAGATGCTACCAGATCTGTGGAGTTTCTCTAGAAACAAAAACAGAAATTGCTGGATAAACTCAGCAAGTCCAGCAGGATCTGTGGACAGCAAAACAAGAGTTAATGTTTTGAGTCTGGTGTGACTTCTTCAGAATTGAGAGCTAAATTTGACTGTCCTCTCTCTGCTTGGGTTGCTGAAATTACTGGCTTGCACGTCACTGTGCAATTAGCTGCAAAGAGAAACAAGTTACATTTTTCCTCTCCATGGAGAAGGACCTCCCACCAGTGATACAGCTGAGATCCTGAATGTAATGTATAAGGATTTCAGGGCATGAACAAGTATCTTACTACTGTGAAACAATTTATCTGTGTGGAACAATAGAAATTCTGGGCGAAACTGATTGGCTGTTTTTTCCATGATCTTTTGTACAGCTCACAATGAATAGTTTCACAACAAGTTTGTTAAATATTTGATAGCTTCCCAGATGGTGAACGAATGATGACATAAAGAATGATTATGTAAAAATAGGGGCACTCAAGAGTGCATACCGTCACACTACTGTGTTAACTCAATGTTATTGTCGTTTCACAGTTCTTCCCTGAGGCTTTGTTCCTGTTTGTTTGATGCTTCTCAGCTACAAAACTGAAAGAAAATTTTCTGTTAAGGGCTTCAGGCCAATCCACATCCTACGAATATGACGAATTCCACACATCATCTGAATTATGAGTATGGAGTACTAAGTGCCAATGCTCAAAAATAAACTACTCATTTTTCCTAAAGGGAGTTGATAGTTTTTGAAACCTCTTTCTCAAATGACAGTGGCAGCAGAGTACTTGAATGTTTTTTTTAAGTAGAGGTACTTAGATTTCTAATAAGGATCGGGGCGGAATATTAGTGGGGAATAGGTAAGATTTGGCAATGATCTTGCTGAGTGACAGAACAGAGACGATTGGCCGAGTGGTCAACTCGTGCTCCTAATCCATACATTTGTATGAATTTTAGTTCGTATGACAAGATTTTCAAAATAATCAACACCGAATAAGAACGCACAACAATGTGAACAAAAAATGCGATTTGATCCCTCTCCCAATGTTAACTTGCTGCTTCTTAAAGTTCCAGCCCCACATCTTCGTCATAATCAGCTCTTCCCTGGGCCATGCCCTGTTCGCCAAGATTCCTCTGTCATTTGTTTTGGGAAAACGTACCGATCGCAGACAACCAAACTGACAAGAAGCGAAAACAAAATCACCTCCGAAATAGGTACTTTATTTCCAGACCATCCCCCTCAAACTCAGCCGACCATCTCACTCACTTCCCAGCGGCCCACGCGCTTTTCTCCTGCGGGGGCGGCGGGCGGAGGGATTGCGGCGCGCGCTCTTTTCTGTGACTACGTGAATGCGCAGGTGGGCGCGCGCTCTCGCTCTCTTCACTGTGTCTTGGCGGGCGGGTGCGCGATCTCGCGCCTTCGCATCCCTTCACCTCCTGGCGCGAGCCGTACCAACGCTTCTAACCGTCCGGAGAATTCGTGCATCACTCAGCCCCGCCTTCGGCCTCAGCCTCCCACATTTCACCTGCTGGGTAGCTACCTTTGCTCGCTGTTCCTTATGGCCTTGGTTACGGTGCAACGTTCTCCAACCCCGAGCGCTTCCTCCAGTCCCAGTGTCTCGGTGAGTCTGCTGCGGTCGCTAGCATCTCTGGGCTGATAGCTTCCCAAGGCTGATTGGACCTGCTTGTAATCTGGGAATGTTCCAGGCCTCATGCCGGCATGATTATTATACCTGAAATCAGAAATAAATATTGCAGGCGTTGTGCTGGGAGCTGTTAAATCAGAATCAAACGTGTGCTCTTTGCCCTTATCGTTGAAAATATTTCTCCATATTATTTGTTGTTGTTAGGATGTGTGCCCGCGGGGTTTTTTTTTGCAATAATGGTGTTAAAAGTTGACACTGAGAAAGCAAAACACAAGAAATAGATTCAGGTCCACTAAAATATTAGGAAGTTTGAGATCACCAAAAAGCATATACAATTTCACATAATTAACTCTGGATCTATATTCGCAATATGTGATGCTAATCTTCCTATAAACGTCTGCGAGTGGCTGCTTTGTTTGATTTGAATTCCTTTGTTTTTAGGTTTTGATTTTCAACGTTTCATCAAGGCTGTTTTTTAAAATAGCAGTATTGGGTTTCTTGATGAGATTTTGTTTTTTCTTGGAGATTTTAGGCTGATAAATTTGGAAAATAGCTAATTCCATTACTATATAATAGCTGCTGTGGTAACGTGATCCATTGTTGCCTCCTTTGGAATAAATATTCTCATTGCCACATTTAAGGTTGCAATGGAATTGGTGCAAATTGTACAGTATAGATTTTAGATTATGTAAATTTCTTACCCTCTCAAAAGGTATTATCTGTTCTCAATAAATTTGGAATAATTGTGGTGGACACTCAATTGGATGTGGGTATCATCAACACGAGTTGACTGATTCTTGTTATACATCTGATACAGCAAGATCAGCTCGAACTTATGGTTAGATGGTAATGGTTGGTTCACTCATGACCTTTAGGGAGGAAACTGCTATTCTTACCTGGTCAGGCCTATATGTGACTCTAGACCCACAGCAATGTGGTTGACTCGCAACTGTCCTCTGGGCAATTAGGGATGGGCAATAAATGCTGCTTAAAAGCAATGCCCTCATCCTGTGAATGAATAAAAGGAGGAAAAACTGCTTCCATCTGTCAGGTATACATCCTGTGAAAATGACTTTGAAGCACTTATCACCCTGAAGAGATGCTAGTCTCTTGGATTGGGTCCAGTGGAGGGTCACCTGATTACACACCTGCATGAGGTTAGAAGCCACTTGAAATATTCACATGATCAATGATGTCCATTAGATTTTGTTTGCAGTTTTAAGATATAAACAGGTTACTGTAAATCACCTGCTTTTGATGTTCTGCCCCTTGAATTCTCAACAGCAAATTATATACACAATCCTCAATGGGATTATGGGTATCTCCATATAATATGCTTGAATAAATGTTTAATCACACTTCACGATCATTCTGTGTTTCTTGCTTTTGCAACTTGGCAAGCTGCATTGGATAACTTTATGGCATATTGAAATAAGACCTCGCAGTTACAGCTGGCAGATGGCATTAAGAATTGCCTGATGGTCACCTATTGTACATCAGTAGTTAAAAATGAGTCCCATTCTATATTTATATGCAGTCCGTGAAATTCATTTTTTTAAACAAAAGAAAACCATTACGTACTCAAAATCATTTCACAGTTGGAATGTGCCCTGGGTTCAGATGACAGTTATGACAATATCTGAATTTTGATAACTGCCTTGGAGTCACTCTCAACTGCATATTTATGCACGATTTCTTCATTATCTGTGCATAGTAGGTGCTAAAGCTAAGAGGAGTAACAAATTCCTTTGCTATGCTTACCTAAGAAAAGTGCCATTATTTTTTGTCTTTGAGGAATATCCCTTCAGAGATCATATTCCCCTATGCTAAAGAGTATCACACTAATGTTCCAACATGTGACTTGGATGGCTTGGTAAGCAGTTGCTTAAAAATTATCAATTGGTCATGAACAAATTGTGTAAGCAGACTGTTAGAAATGTTTAAGTTATAAACTATTTAGTATGATGTCCGTATAACCTCCCATACGTACCTGAAATCAAGCCGTGCTGTATTTACTGCAGCAATGCAGGATCATGATTTCGTTTTATAAAATTAGCATTTTTTTCCTTGTGCAACCTGGCTCTTTGAAGGTAGTCCGCATGTGAATTTGCTATTCCTTAATTCTTATAGAATTTAGCCTACTGTACATGCAGTAAAACGTTTTGTAATAATATTAGTTATTGGGGTATTTAGAAGGTCTAGGAGACATGTTTTGTTACATTAGCATCTTCATGTAATTGAAGTATTTCAAATATTGTGACTGGTGAAATTCCTTTCTTCCTGATTGAGTGTAATTTTGATTCCTGATGGCTTTTCAGTTCTTTTTGTTAATGATCACATTGCACAATCTCCCTGATTTCATTACATCAGAAAGAAAAAAAGCACCCAATTACGTTGTAGTAATAATCCTGAGACATTTCCATCTTTACAGTTCCTATTCCAATGTTGTTAGAAAAACGTAGCGTTTGTATTATGGAAAAAAAAAAGTAAATCACAAACTTGAGCATGAACAACACCTCTCTCTATCTACAAACGGTTTGCCGTTGAACTTGAGGGTCTTTTTAAAACAAATCATGTCACACAGAGAATTAATTCATCCCTACTTGTGTTTTACAATTGCACAATGAATGAAACTGGATGATTATACTTTTTTATCCAACATTTTTGGATACACTGTGCAATTGTTAAGTTTTGCAATATGGCCTCACTTAGGTTATCTACATGGAATTTCAAAAGTCCTAAGTTGAAAAAAATACTTCAGTTGAATAACCATTGTAAATTGGTAAACTACAGGGTAAAATAAGTGTCACTAATTTGTAGCACAGGGTCTTGTAATTAAGTGTTTATTCTGGTAACCATTAAATCAAACTGAGGTGAAATGTTATTTCAAGCAAATCTAAGCAGCCAGATTAACAACAAACTATATAAGGCACTTAGGCAGCCTTCCACTATAGTTAAAAGATATAGATCCGGCTTGTTGCAATGATTGCTAAAATAATTTATGTTTGGTATGGTTTTTAGTTTAAGAGAATGGACTTTGTGCATGCACTTTGTAATTGAGTTTATGATACATAGAAATGGTTGCAAAATACTCAATGTATTTTAATTATTTGAAGCATGAATAGTGACATTGTTCCGTCCTTTAATGCATACACTTTTTTTTAGCAGTTATTGTAACGAGTTCTTTGCCTGATTCACATTTTGTAACATAGTGAAAAGCTGGAGAAGAGGTTTAGATAGGAACTTTTTTTATCGGATGGATAAGATTCTTTTATACAATTTTTGACCTCAATTTGATTGTGTTTGGCACCTTAATTATTTGCAAAGGGCAATAGAGGGGATACTTTCCTGTGCAAAGCCAAATGCTATAAAAGCTAGAAACTGAAATTTTAAAAAAAGCAAATGCACAAAATACTCAGCAGGACTGGACTGGTGGCACTATCCTGCAGTGTTAATTCTGTTTCTCTCCACCAGTAATATTTGCACTTTTGGTAATTTGTTTGGCTCTAAAACCTTTGATCAGCCAGGAGATAACTGGCAAGGGATTGCCTAATAGTGCAATATAGTAAAAATATTTGTAAAATATTAGTTACACATCTGCCTTTGTGAAATCTTGAGTTCAGTTTATTCTCATGTTACCATCTCTTTAAGGGTTGCACTGAAAATGCTGTATAGGCTGATGTGCTTGTATGATTTTAACATTCTGTGCCTGTATTTAATTTACACAGTGAATGGGCCATTGACTGCATTACGAGTTCAGTGTCAATGATCTGTAGTTGCACACACTGTACCTTGTTATGATCAGTTCTTCAGGGAGTGTTTTATAACTAGTGTATTGCTCAAAGTAATGTTCTATCTCAGAAATATCTCTTAATTTCTCATTGAATGCCATGTAACTTCAGTTAATTATGAAACAAACACACAGAATGCTGGAGAAGATCAGCATGCCTAGCAGTGTCTCTTGAAGGAGAAACAGTTAACATGTCAAGTACAGTATTACTCTCCTTCAGAATTGAAAAGGTATTGGAAATGTTATTTATTTCAACTTTTGACAGAGGCAGAGGCCCAGTGCAAATGATAACGGGGTTGCTAACACTGAATATTGGAGCAGCAGTAGGCCATTCAGCCCTTCAAACCTCCTGCTATTCATTCTGATCATGGCTGATCATCCAACTCAATAGCCAGTTCCTGCTTTATCCCCATATCCTTCGATCCCTTTTAACCCCAAATGCTATATCCAATTCCTTCTTGAGATCACACAATGTTGGGGATACAGGTGAAGAAAGAGAAATGAGATGTAAAATAGATGTAAATTAAGGTGTAAAAGGGAGGGAATGAGTCATTTATACTAAGAGCAAATTTTAACAAGACAAGGCTTTTGCAGCTGCGGTCATGAAGCATGGAGAGAATGAAAGAAAATGGATTACAGGCATAATACAGTTAGTTTTTGAAGTTATTGAATTGGATATTGATACCATGAGGCTCTAAAGTGCCTATGCAGAAAATGAGGTGTTGGTCCTCAAACTTGCATAGTGTTTCATTGGAACATTGCAGCAAGCCCAGGACAGGAAAGTTAGCATGAGATAAGGCTGAACAACTTGCAACCATCTTTGTCCAGAAGTGCCAAGTGGATGATCCATCTTGGTCCACTCCAGAGATTCCCAGCATCACAAATGCCAGTCTTCAGCCAGTTCAATTCACTCTGACATCAAGAAACAGTTGGAGGCATTGGATACCACAAAATCTGTGTTTCTCACTCTCATTCTGCTGCCTTCTCCCAGTAACTTTTGATACCCATACTATTCAAGAATCTATCTATCTCTGTCTTAAATGCATTCAATTACTTGGCCTTCTGTGACAATGATTTCCACAGATTTACCAGCCTCTAACTGAAGAAATTCTTCCTCAAAGCAGTTTTAAAGGAAACACATCCGCTGGCTTTCCTTTGTCATATTTGCTCATTCCCTGAGGTTGTT